GGTCTCACGTGTGATGTGCTGCTTGCTCAAATTAGATCACAAGCTCCTTCCAAGCAAGGACTCTGTCTCACTATTTTTGTGCCAAGCCCAGTGCTGACTCAAGAACAGTTCTCAGTAGTCACTGGGTGACAACAGGAACACCAGCTTGAACACTCAGAAGAAGCTTGCTGAAGACTCTGGCTCACCCACTGCACGCTTAAAACAAAAAACAAAATGCAACGGTTCACGGGTCCATGAGAGCTGGCCAAGCAAGGCACTGCTCACAGAAAAAAGGCTGCATTGGAGTTTGCAAGCTTTTAACTCACATGATTCCTCATTTGAACTGAATCTTCCCCAGTCAGTTAGACATAGTGAAACTTTAGATTATAACATTTCTTGATGGCTGTAGACAAGGTCTGTGTGTACTACAATGGCCAGAGGAAAGAAACCTACATCAGAAATGACAAATATGGAGTTCCCCCTGGGCATGAAGGTGTCAGATACTTTTTAATAGAAATCCACACATATCCAGACCCAGACCCTTAGACTGGGGCTAAGAGCTCCTAAAGTAGACAGGGGACAGGGCATGAGAAACAGGCAGGGCCCTGTGTTTGGCAGGGAGGTCTGGCTCTCAGCTCACTGCAGAAGCAGAGTCCATGTGCAATGCCAACGCTCACACGCACAGGGCATGGCACCAGGAGCCCCCTCCCAGCCTTCCCTAGGCCAACAGCCTACTCAATGGAACTATGCCTTTCACAGACCAGCTACCATGAGCCTCGGCCTTCAAATCGAACGCTTTCTGTTGTGCAAACATGTTCACTGCCTCCCCTCTATCCAGGCTGTCCCCAAGCAGCCCCTTTATCCTGGTGCTGTGATTTCAGGCGCAGTGGGTGAGGGGGTGTCCCCTGGTGGTGGTTGGGGGTGGGTGGTCCTCTGGATGGGGATATGCCCTCGAGAGGGACGGCTGAGCCTTCAGGATGGGGCTCTGCCCAGTCTTGTCCTTCCGCGTGTCCACCACTAGGTGGGGCCAACCGCGACACGTCATTAGGGCCAAGCTGAAGCAACTTCACTCCTTGCTTCCCCCTCCTGCTCAGCTGATGGGTGCTCCGGTGTGGGAAGACGTTAAAATGTCCCGGTGGTTCAGACACTGCTCAGGGACAGCGGAGAGCAGGGCAGGGAACACGATTCAGCACTACTAGGACGGCATTGGTTAAGATCCACCTTCAGAGAAGCCTCAACTCAAGCTCCTGAACGGATCTCCCGCAGTGCCAAGCTGGGGCACCCTCGTGTACCTGAGCCCAACTAGAACCAGCTCTGAGTCACTAACGCCGAGAGCGGGGCCTGGCTTAGACACGCTAGAGTCATCAAGCCTGGTCCCCTGGGCCTGGCACTTCCAGCGTCATGGGAACAGGACCACACTGGGGGTTGACAGCATCAGGCAGACACGTGAGTTTTCACAGGCTCCCAAGAGAAACCGCCTAGGGCAGGAAGGCCTGGTAGAGAGGGCAGTGGGGCAGGTGTACCTGCTCAGCTGACATACCTGTGACATCCAACGGACGCTTTTTTAGAGCAGTGACCACTGGCCCGTCTTTCCTGCGTAGCAGAGGGCTGCTCCGTCTTTCGGCCACTTTCTGCTTTAGCCTGGACCGTAATTTCAGATTCGGTTCAGAAGCTGCACGGAAAGGAGATGTCATTACAGCCAGGCAGATACCACTGGGCTCAAGGTTATCCTGTTGGTGGTTTTTTAAAAATATGCACTCTGGGGAATACATATTCGCTCAACACTGCCGTGTTGCTGCAGGGGATAGCGACGGGAACTCACGAAGCAGGGGATTCTAACCCCATTCATCAGTCCCAAATAATGAGTAAAATGTATCTGGTGCTTTGGATAAATTTCTGTGACCACAGCATTATGCAAGCGCTGGCAGTATCTTCACAGAATCAGGCCACGACTGCGGTTTCCAGCAGATGGGGAACAGGACTGACAAGCTGATTCTCTGGGCGTGGCAGGGGGTTGCTGAGGTGTGAAGTCACTTAATGGCGATGTCTCGTAACTAATGCTCTTCTAGATAATACACCCCTATCTTTATAGCTGTGTTGCTCTAAAATCAGAGAAAGACCGACAAACAGGGATGTGACACCGGGCCCAGGGATGTGAGGATGGTGTCTACGTTGCACACTTTTTGCTCACCTGTGCATCGCCCCAGCTATGTCAGTGAGGCCTCCAGAGCGTGAGGCCGCTATCCCTACTCCCACCTGGTGAGGCTCAGCAAAGCCCATCCCAGCACCTGTGCCAGCTTCACCTCTCATCTGACCACAGGGTGAAGGTACTGGGCGTGGGTCGGTTTCTGTGAACACCTCTGCCTGTGCGGACAGAGCCATTTGCGAATCTGCATCTTCCAACCCATGGTGGTTCCCAAGTCATCTGCATCTGGAGCCCAAACCTCTGGGGCAGGGCCTGCCTTGGGAAGCACCAGGGATCTAAAGGCAGCAATCGGAGGCAAAGAAATCCCCAAACCCACCCGGGAGAGGTTATTGGCTTTCAGAGTCCAGAACAGCGCCAAGAATGCTGCCGTGGAGATGTGTGTCACACAAGCCTTTGAATTCTGAGGTTTTACTTGGCTACTTGCAAGGTTCTACCCCTTGTAGATTTGCAAATTGGGAGATTTTACCTCTTTTTAAAGAATCAGCACTCCTGCTGTTCTTAATCTTTCTGGAACAGGAAGTGCACTGCTTCCGGAGCAACCAGGAATGAGAGGGAGTTTCTCCTGGAAGCAGGACTGATGTGGCTGGGCGACGGGGACCCGGCCCCATGTGACTTCACTCTTTGGGACACGCGGGCAGCCCAGGACCTTCCCACTCTGGAAAAGGCTTTGAGTCAGGGACAGTTTTTCTGCAGGTCTTAGAAGGATGTGGGAGAAGCAAGCTCCCTAAAACAGGCTTCCCAGAGAAACCAGAGGCGCTGTGAGCAGGTGCCAGACTCTGAGCCTCAGCCTGCTCTGCAGGGAGCGGGGCCTCTGTGCTGTGGCTCGGAGGACCTAGATGACGACAGACGATGGGTTCAGCCACAAGCCGGCCTCTCCATGGGTTACTGACCAGGGCACGCTCCTGTGCCTAACACAACCGACTGAGGCAAACGTAGATTCACATGCTCCACTTCTATTTCCACGCTGGGTTTCTTGCCATTATTCGAAAAACAAAACACAACAAAAAAAGCCAAGCCAAAACACCCAGCTGATGACTAGGCAAGAAAACAGCACCTCCTCTCCCACCATCACATCTCCCCTGAAACCCACATGGGCTCTGCAGGGATTCCCCGGGCCAGGGACAGGAGCCGCTGATGGTGGGCAGGAGCCACTTCTGAAAGGCAGGGGCTGTGTGTGCCCACAGAAGGGCACAGGGTCCCCGGCCCTGTGTCAAAGGCCTTCCTTGGTGGCTGCCCTGCCACGTGGAGTGGGACATGTGGCGTCGGGAGGCAGGCATGATGTGGTCACTCCAGGCCACTATGGACTGGCTGGGCTACTGCAGCCCAGTGCACGGCCTCCCCCAGGCCCTGTGGGGTCACCACGCTGCTCCCAGGTCATCAGTCGGGCGGCAGATCCTCCGCAGCCCTGCCGGGCACTCCAGACTCCTTGTGCAAGAGACTCTCGAGGACAGCCCCATGGTGGCTGCCTCGCCCTACCCCTCCCCTCCCCTCCCCTTCCTCAGGCCTCTGCTCCACACCCCTCCCAAGGCTGCCCTGATCCCCCACAGCCCCACTGCCCCCATCACAGCCCCACTGCCCTGTTTTCCTCCCAGCTGCCTTCTCAGCACCTGAAATTCTTCTGTCCCCTCACCTGTTTATCCTCTGCCTCCCAGCCTGCACACCTGCCTGGCTTCCCTGATTCTAGCTGACTGCACGTCCCTGGTTGGCTCTGCCTGCAGGGTGGCTGTAGCTGACCAGGAGGCTCCAGGACACCACGTCAGCACTGCCAAGGGCAGCATGGCGTGAGGCTGGGGCCCTTCACTCGTCCCTGCCCCGTGGGCTATTCAGCACTCTGACTTGCCCCCAGAACCTATCAGACAAGCAGGGCTTCGGATGCAGGGCTGGGGGAGGGGACTGAGCAGCAGCACGTGGATCAGGAGAGAAGGGGGACGCTGGAGCCTGCCCAGGGCACATGAAGTGGCCTTTCTGGGGAGAACAGAGAAGGCCTAGGGGGCAGAAGGCAGCGGGGGGAGCTGCATACCACGAGGACCAGCTCGCTGCCTGCTTTCAGGGTGGCCAGCCTTCCTGCTTCCTGCCCTCCCTCATTACTTCCAGGCCGGGCGTCTCATAGATTGACTTAAGACATAGTGACCTACAATTTCAGTCCTTCAAATGCATGTGTCTTAAAGCTTGCACAATGCCTGTAACTCCAATAATTCTGCCAAAGGCAGCCAAAGTGGAAGATGCAGGTAAGCCGGTATCTGGTGACGGTGAGGGTGGAGGCTGCACATGCACCGGCTCAGGGCAGCAGCCCCTTCAGCACCCTCGTGGGCCTTCCACTCATTCCAGGCACGATGTGGCCAGGCAGAGGAACTGCAGGAACTGGATCCCACCCCTAAGAGGGCTGCAGGTACACTGACAGAACCAAAGTATCAGGTCAGAGGCCTCATGGAAAAGTCGCTCCCACCAAGCATGGGTGAGGGCAGGAAGGATGCCAACTGTACTTCCAAATGCAGTGTCTGCTCCTTAGGGAACGGGGAGCAGGTGAGATTGTTTCTCCTGAAGCCAATCAAGTAAATGACTAATTCAGGCGGCACAACATTCTAATCACAACCTTAAAATTCAACACAGTGCCCAATGCCTAGCAGGTGCCTTCATCCTTCTGCCAGAAGCAATTCTGATGGAGACACAGGCTCGCTCCTCCCAACTTAAACATCCTGAGTGTCAGCTGCAGGTGAAGCGGCTCTCAGAGCCGGAATGCTTTAACTGTTTAGCGGCCGGGTTTACAGAGGGGATATGTGTGCATGTGGCACGAGTGTGGAGGGCGGTATCTTTGTGGGCCTGATGCAATGTCCAGCAGCCAGCGAGGAAAGAACCCATTGATTTAGCAGCAGAGAGTGCACAGAACATCGCCGTGGGACAGGGCGTGCAGGCAGAGCTGCAGAGAGGAGGTAACTGCTTCCAGCTGCTCTGCCTTGAAATCCTAAAGTGACACTAAAGGAAGTATTAAAGAGGATAAACACAAGAGGACAAAAACGCAAGTGCAGAAGGAAGGGGCTGGAGAAAAACTTGAGAATTGTCAGAAGGGGGAATAAAAGGATAAAAAGATGAAAAATGGGAGTGCAAAGATCCTACAACAAATTGCTGAAAACGCCAGGAGAGGAGAGAATCAGCTGGGTGGAGAGAATCATGAGCAGAAACTCCAGACCTACTTCTCCAGCTGAAGAGGAGCTGGACACGGAGGCCAAGAATCCCCCACCTGCGGGATCCCAAACTGCTTCAGAGCTCTGGGGACAAAGGCTCGGCCTTGAGAACAGTTTTGTACTCGGCAACAGCCACACCGAGGGCAAGACGAGGACCTGAAAACCCTGCAGGAAATGACTTCCATCCCCAACCAACTCATCAACCAAGGGTGTAACAGGGTAACGATATTTACCAGTAACGAGGACTCCAAAAACACATGCTCCATGCACGACTTCTCCAGGAGCCACTGGAAGACGTGCATGACCAAGATGGCAGAGGAAAGCAAGCACAAAGGAGGCCGCAGAAAGGAGGTCACGGGGCCCGGGAGAGGAGGCGGGGGCCAGGCCGGGAGAGCAGAGCATTCAGACACACCGGGCAGTGGGGCCAGACGCACCAGGCGGCCTGCTGTGCGGAGGAGAGTCTCCTAGGTATGCTGAGATGTGGGCCTGAATAACAGGCAGGTGTGAAACTAAGCAAATGAAAAAAAAGATCAACTTCTGGACAAATTCCTACAAGGTGAATGCAGCCCAGGTGGACTCTGGTTCTGCTGTGAACGTGACACAAGCTGTAATAACGCAGGCTGGACAGGCAGTCAGGGACGGCCGTTCTCCCGTCATGAACATCATGGGGGTCTATGTGAATGTACATTTATTTACTTTGGTAAAAATAAAAAGATAATTCTGGCCAGGCTTAGTGGCTCATGCCTGTAATCCTAGCACTTTGGGAGGCTGAGGCGGGCAGAGGTCAGGAGTTCGAGACCAGCCTGACCAACATGGTGAAACCCCATCTCTACTAAAAATACAAAACTTAACCAGGTGTGGCGG